TTTTTTTTTTCCCAGGATATTAGATCTTACTTTGCATCAGTCTCAACTTCTCAGAAGAAGAATAACAGCGTGTCTGTTACTCCAAAACGTCAAAAACGATGCATAATCTCATCAGAAGAGGATGAAGAAAAGCCAAAGCCATCTACGAAACGTTCTAAGGTGTTACTTCTAGTCGTATTTTGTGCACTTTATTTTACTTGTTATTATTATTATAATTTTCTTTATTACTTTCAACAATATAAATTTGGATAATTAATTATACAGGTTATACGAAAGACAAAAAAGGTTTCTGCTTTGTCAGATTCTGATGACGATGTAATAATAAAAAATGATAAAGATTCTAATTATTCTAAAACAAGTAATAAAAGCAAGAGTGAGAAGCTACGGAAAGAAATCTCTTTTAATGAATTATTTGAGAAGAAGCCAATATCAAGGATAGAAGAGACAAAAGTCAATCGAAAGTTGCAGAAAATGGTAAATATTATATATGGATATGAATGATGACTAATAAATATTCTATAATGATATTGGAATTTATAGGAATCTGAATTTCACAATGATGAGGATTTTGACGCTGTGCTTAAACAGTTAAATACTTCTCAATGTACCAGGGTGGAGGATATGAAGAAAGATAAAAGTTCCAAAAATGCAAATATTTCCAAAAAATCAGAAAAAGTTGAAATTAAAATAGGTACATTTAATTTATAAGTGTGAAAATAAATATTATAGACAAACTTGACATAATAAAATATTAAATTATTTACAGAAGATTCTAATAAGGATAAAGATATTTCGAAAGATACTCATAATAAAATTAATAAAACAAATAAATTACAAACTGAGGAGGTGAAAATATTTCCTAACAAAAATGATATACATTCGAAAGTTGTTATAAGTTCTCCTTCAAAACAGAAATTACAAAAAAGACAAAAAGATAATTTTGATGAAGTCTTAGATACAAAGAATAAATATAATAATAAGCCTTCTAAACAATTAAACTTTGACAAAATGAAATTGAAAAATAATTCAGCATCTGTATCATCAAAGGATAAAGATGTAGAAAAATCATTAGATAAAAAGAAAACCGAAACAAAAGATATATTTGAAGAAAGGATAGAAAAGAAGAAACAGCGTGCTACAATGTATGGAAAATATCTTCAGAGAGGCGGCGCCAGAAATCCTGGCTCAAAAGAGATTCCTGTTGTAAGAAACTTTATATACAATGATTAATTGATTATATACAATGAATAATTTTAGAACTGAAGGAATTATTTTTTAATAAAAGTAGAAAAAAGTTTTAATAGTATTTGATTTATTTCATAGGGGGCTAAGAACTGTTTAGCTGGAGTGAGTTTCTTAATTACTGGTGTTTTGGATTCCTTAGAAAGAGAGGAAGCTGAAGATTTAATACGGAGTTATGGTGGCCGAACTGTGAACGCTGTATCAGGCAAAGTAAATTATATTATAGTAGGAGATGAGGCTGGTCCAGCTAAATTGACAAAAGTGTGTGTTTATATAATTCTACATGCAAGTATCTTTTGTTTCCTATTTACATAAGACAAGTTTTCAGGCCAATAGTTTAGGCATCAAACAAATATCAGAGGATGATTTGCTAGAAATGATTTGTACAAGATCGGAAGGTAAGCCTAAAGACATCAAGCCAGCTACAATAAGAAAGACAATTTCGAATAAATCTGAAAGCGATAAATCATCATCAGCGAAGAAAGAAAAAGCACCATCACCGAAGAAAGAAGAAATATTATCACTGAAGAAAGAAAAATCATCAGATTTTTATCAAAAGGTAAAAACGCCATCATCTTCACCGATGAAAGTAAAGACATCCTCACCAATATCAAAACAGATTTCCAATATAAGCAATGATATACAGGAGGTAAATTTAGATTTTAATTTAATATTCATGCGCTTATAAACGATAAAATAAAATTTAAACCATAATTTTTTATATATCATTATATTTTTGTAGATTACAAACATTGGATCAGAACCGTTGGTTGAGAAATATAGACCTAAAATGATGAAACAGATTATAGGTCAACAAGGAGATAAAAGCTGCGCGCACAATTTGTATGTATGGCTGCGCGATTGGCATAAAAATCGCCAAGATCCCAAATTCAAAAATGGCAGTATGCTATCTTTTATTGTTTTAAAATCATAATTAAAATAAAATAAGAAAATTCAATTAATTACATTTTTGTTCTAACGTAGTCGGCAAGCAGACACATGGACAAAATTTCAAAGCTGCATTGCTGTCCGGTCCGCCAGGAGTCGGTAAAACGACAACCGTACATGTTGTTTGTAAGGACTTAGAATACGATCTTGTAGAATTTAATGCTTCTGATACGAGAAATAAGATGCTTCTAAAAGAAGAAATCTCAGGATTATTATCCAATACTACAATGAAGGATTACGTCACAGGTAAACACATAATACAAAATCTTGAAATAATTATATTATTCTTTTGTTTTACATTGCAGGTGCCAAACAAAAAATTACAAGCAAGCATGTGTTATTGATGGATGAAGTCGATGGTATGGCTGGCAACGAAGATCGTGGTGGCTTACAGGAATTAGTTAGTTTAATCAAACATACTGAAGTACCAATTATCTGTATATGCAATGATCGATTTAACACAAAAGTGAAAACCATTTCTACGCACAGTTATGATCTGAAATTTTCAAAACTCAGAGTGGAACAGATCAGGGTACAATTTACAGAATCTAATTCGAATTACGTTTCTTACCTAATATAATTAGATTTTGTTCTTTGCTTGCAGAGCTCCATGAAATCTCTATGCTTTAAAGAAAATATCAAAATCTCAACGGAAGATCTTGATTGTTTAATCGAGTCGACGAATTATGATATTCGACAAGTAATAAATCATCTAGAATTTCTTAGAAGTCAAACAGCTCACGTGGAAGCGGATGGCAAAAAACATTCAAACAAGAATTTCAAACTCGGTCCATTTGATGTCGCAAAAATAGCATTCAACGCGGAAGAGCAAAAGACTATGAATTTGAACGATAGAATTGGTTTATATTTCCACGACTACAATATAGCGCCTCTTTTTATACAAGAAAATTATCTAGGAGTCAGATCTCAAATGCCACCGTGAGTATCATCATGTTTATATACGAAAACCAAAAATTAAGAATTTTATTTTCGTAGTCGTCAGAGGCTAGAAAGAATTGCCAATGCGGCCGACAGTATATCTCAGGGAGATCTCATCGAGAAGGTAATGAGAGGCAATATGATGTGGAGTCTGCTTCCGTTACATGCTTGTTTCTCATTTATTATACCAACGAGCGAAATGTCGGGAAGTCTTGATACGTTGATACGATTTCCTAATTGGTTTGGGCGAAATTCAAAGGCAATGAGATTTAATCGGTACTAATTAGATTTTTATTAAAATGTAATTTATTGTGATTATACAGAACTTCAGTGACTCCTTACTATGTATTGCTTCTAGATTAATGCAAGAATTAACGGTGCATACGCGATTAGCCACGGGTGCGAGCAAGGACGCCCTCAATCTGGATTATTTGGTCCACATTCGAAACGCTATTATAAAACCTCTAATAGAAAATGGTGTAGATGGCATAGAAGCAGCATTAAATATTATGGGAAAATATCATTTAACCAGGTCCATATATTTCATTTACGTTGAAAGTATTAAAAAATACTGTATATTAACATGTTAATATTTAAATTTTTTTTTAGAGAGGATTTGGATTCAGCGATAGAGATTTCTCTTTGGCCAGGAATTCACGATCTTACGAATAAGCTTGATAGTAAAGTATGTACAACTATTTTGACATGTAAACTAGAAAATTAATAGACTAATTGTACTAAATTACTATAATCTCTCTCTCTCTCT